ATAAAATACTATTCCTCGTAAGGTGCTGTACTGCCGGTGATGAACCTGGTCCCTGATTATTTTATATCCTGTTTCATCCAGGTACATATTGTTTCATTTATTTATTGTTTTATTTCCTTGTAATTCTGTCTAATGTTAATGTATAAAATAAAATGTTTCCCCTGACCCAAAGCAATGAGTCATCATATTAGGACCAGGTTTTGGTCCTAATATGATGGACATAATATGACACTGGACATATTATGGTGCGTTCACACCAAACTCATTTTGACCGTCAGGTGCATTCAATGTCAACGTGGAGACGCGTCGAGGGCCGATGTGGCGCTTTGGGGCGTTTGATGCATCGAGTGAGTCCATGGCGTCCAACATTCTACAAAGACTTTGAATGTAAACCAGAGACTCGCCTGACGCTCAAAACGTGTTTGATATGAATGCATCATTAGAATGTTCAGTTCCTATGGTAACGATGACATAAGCAGTGATGACATCACTCTTAGATACATCAAAGGAATCTCTCTTGTGTAGCAGTTTGTTTCCGACCTTATAAGTCTGACAAAAATGTATGAATCTTCTCCAGGAACATTGTTAAAATTGTTTGAAGGCACAGAATCAGCCTACAGGTTCACACTCTCAGGTGAGAAACTCACCTGGCATGAAGTTCATTATTAGGTAGTGGAATTACACCAACGATAAATTAGTTTAATCAAAGCACATTATGAATATGTGTTTGTGTATTCCATATTAAGTACATACTTCAATATTAGTTTTTTTTTTTTTTTACTTTTATGACTAGATGATTTTATGTATGTGCATGTTACCATGGCGGCGCCCTATGTGGCTGTAGCTACTTTCGCTCCCCGGTAATACAACCAATTTATTGCATGATTAATTCAATATGCATATAAGATACAACATAAACAACTTTATTCAGAGATGCAATGAGTTTATGGCAGCTGTGCGAATCATCTAATTGTCTGTTGATTTGCAGCAATCCTCGTCAATAGCAGACGCAGAGGGCTACAGAACCTCTGTGTGTGCTTAGTCCCCATGGAGCAGTGCTTCTCGATTCCAATCCTCAGAACAGATGTGGCTCTTTTCCAGGGCAGCTGATTCAAATAACTGCATGATCTCTTCTGCAGCCATCAAGTACTGCAGAAGCCTGCTAATCACCCACCGATTCAATCCAGGTGTGTGGCAGAAAGGAAACATGCATGATTAAAGCAGGTGCCCTTTAGCATTACCTCTTAGCAAAAAATTTTCATCAATTATTAAACTCATGTACTATTACTGTTGTTATTATTACACTTCTTGACAAACACCGTGACATGTTTCTTTCTGCATGTTGTGGTTAGTTCTAGGGCTGTACAATGTCAGAAAAATATTGTTGTGGTCTGTAAAAATTTTAATAATATAGATTACTATTAAGCCAGTTTTTCCGCATACTTTCATTTTATTTCTATTATATGATGAGTTTTAGTATCTCGGTTCCGAAACGGAAACCTCTAGATCAGGCTTTCAAAGGCAGCTAAAGACCATCCAATTAGCCCGGTACATAATCAATAGACAAAGCGTGAAGAAACTGAATATATAGAAAAATAACAATAATGTGCTGAAGCATAAAGTGGAGTTTGCTGTCTTCTGAGTTAGTTGGCTACATGGAAACTCTCCACTTTCCCGTCCACAGATTTCTCACAGTTTGTTCTAAAAGTCCAAGGCGACCAACAGGACATGCTCTGAGAAAACATTAATCTAACGGAGACAAATGAACGACAAGTTCCATTAATCACAGTAAATTTCGGTTTTACACCTTTTTAACTTTAGTCAAAGAAATGCCGTGTCTGTTCATGGGGAGCCTGTATTTTTGCTTTATTTCCTACAGTGTGCAGCTTGGACACAAACCACATTAAAGCACGGAGCAATAAACTAATGAGTGATGGGGTCTGGGGAACAATGAGAAAACGGCCTAAATGACAGAAGAGAAGATTGAATTGAAGCCTCAGGTTGTTGGAAAGTCATTACAAATGCAGTCGTGCAGAGTATTGCTTAAATGTGAAGGAGAAGCAGCAAGCATGTGTGTGTGTGTGTGTTGGAGTAGTTTAATTTAATCTAGCTTCTTCCTGGGTCGTTGTCCTCAAGATGGAAGGTCAGATGTCTTTGGTCATGGAGAAAATGTGGACGTTCGTCCAAATGTTGGCTGAACGATTCTGGAGGAATCGTTCAACCAAGTTATTACCTGACTTGGTAATAACCAAGTCAGGTGAGCGGATATTAAAAACTGGAAGTGATTCCTGACTGACTGTTTTATTCATTAGTAAAAGTTGTTTCAGGTTTGGGGAATGCTCTCAAATTACATATCAGGGCCTCTGGATACAGCAGGATGGAGTTCACACAGTTTAACAGCCTTCCCACACACAGAGCTGCAAAACAATGTAGTAACGCTGAGTCACAGTCCCACTTTATTTGCTAATAGTCCTCCTCTCACCACATACTATTAGGAGAGGAACTTAATATAGAAGAATAAAATTCGAGAGAACTTAAAATGTTTCAAGATTTCTCTATTAACACTCGAAGACGATTGGGATAGATTGGTAAAGCTGGCACTGAAGAACATCTGCTGTTCTGGAGCTGAGACTTTTTTTGGGGGTGAATGGAACTTCTGTTTTTAGTCATCTCAGTGTTCAACGCCACGGTACTCCCAATTGTTAACAGCTGCACGGATTAAAAACCAAAAGGTCTATTATTAAGTTTCTATATTTGCCGTGGTATGACGCTGCACATGGTGATTCACGTCTGAGGAATCTATTTCTGCTGAATGGCTTTGGATGAAGGAGCGAATCAGAACCGTCTCTGAACCCTTCAGTAACTCATCACATGGTTCAGACCAGCGCGTTTCTTTCCATGTAAAAACGTAGAGCTGGACACACAGATACTGAAAATTAAATATTGAAATTCAATTGAAATATTTAAATTAAATTTTCTGAAACAGAGATCAAGAAGGTTGGTTGAAAATACGTTTTGATTTAATCAAAAGTACTTGATGGAAAATAAAAAAAAGTGGAAAAAAAAGATTTATTTTTATTGTACACTGTAGCATTACTTTGCAAATTTATGACTGAAGTTTGACTGCAGAGCTAGCATGAACAGAGCTTGTTAGCTGTACAGGATTTAGCAAGAACAAAGCAGTAAACATGCTAGCTTCTTAAGAGTTAGCATGTTTGTTAGCTACTCTATGGTCCGTCTGTACAGAGAAGAACCCACGTTGTTCCTGGAATCCCTTCAAAAGTAACTAAAGCTGTTGTAAGAGGCTGTCTATCTGACTAAAATATGATTATTAAATATGTTGAAACCAAAGCCAGCTGGTTTCCTAGCCGTAAGGTAAATCCTTACAATTCCTTCCTTGTCTGTTGTCATACTTCTTTCAGAGCCTGCTTAAGCTTGACAGCTCTCTACTGCGAACAAAATAAGCACATACAAGATGAAAAGTGTTTTCCATTTATAAAGTAAACTAAACCAAACCTCCGTATCCCATGAAATATGAATGAAATGCATTAAAAATGAAGGCGGTGTGATGTTGGTGACTGGTGCAATTGCTCCCTGGAGGTTTCACACTCAGAAAAACAGCATCTGGGTGAGCTGGTGGTTAAAAAAAGAGAAGCTTTTTGGAAATTGAAATGATAATAATGAAAAACTAGTTGGGGAGACTTGAGTTATGTGAATAATAATTTAAAAAAGAACAATTTTAAGCTAACATTTAACTGAAAAGTACAAACCAATAACTTTTCAACTAGATAAAGTTAAAATAGCCATTTTTAGTTGATAATTATTGAATAAAGATAAAACAAAGTCCTAATTCCAATGGCAGATTTGTATAAAAAACAATGAAAAAAAAACGTGCCATGTAATTGAAATTAATCTATATTCAATTGTGTAAATATCTTTTTGAAAAGTTACTTTGAAATTATTTTTGTCTTACTTCAAGTGTAGTAAGATATTTGCTCTAAAGACTTGACAAAAATACACTAATGCACAAACTATATTAGAACTAGAACAAAAGTTTAAGGTGACAAACATAAGACATTTTTATTTGAATATTATATCAAAGTTTTAAAAAAACAAACTTGTGTAAGTAGGTTACACGTAACTCAGCTCTTACTGTTTGTGTTTGATTTTAATAAACATTCCAGGCTCAGAAGTGCTACAATCATCTTTGTTATGATGAATAATTTTTAATAAATAATCTACGGCTGCCAGTCATCGCTGTATAAACAGTTCTTTGCCACAAAAAGAATCCTATTCTGCTTTTTCAGTGGAACTCTCCAAGGTCTGACCCGAGAGAGAGACCTCAGTCTGTCAGTGAATACCAAATACTCTCACAGCAACTCCACCTTCTGCTTGTTCTGTCTTCAGGGGACAAATATGTAGTGATTGTAAGAATGGTTACAATACACCAGGGCTATGATTCAGCCTCCAAAGCCAGCAGGATAAAAAAAAAAAAAAAAAATTTCTCAAGCATTGCAGCTTTATGTCTTCCTTGCGTGTTTTTCTTTGCAACTCTAATAATCTGTTTAGATCCCGATATTCTGCGAGCCCATCCATTTTATTTACCACTGTTATCACAAACCTTGTAATGATTGATGGCTCGGTTAGTTCCATTCTCGTTTCATGGAGCCATAATCATTCCTCATGAGGTGACACTGCAGACGAATGGAAATGCTTTTGTGTATTTTCCTGGATTATGCAAACCGCCTTGCAGGCGTGGTGTTGGCAAATGACGCAACTCTCTGAAACAAAGCCGACATCGAGCAAAGCCGAGGATTTGTGTCTGTGACCTACAGATAGTACAGTGTGGTGACAGTGTTACAGCTGTAAAAGAGGGCCTCCCTGGAGAGGCCAGTCATTTTACAACACATTTTTTTCAACATACTTCAAAACTCTTTCTACCTTTATGTTCCTCCTTGTTTGTATGCACATTGAAATATTGATTTTCTTTTGTCTTTCAGAATAAAGTCATGACCATCGACAGTGTGAAGGTGAAACTGCAGGTGAGACAGAAGAGCTGTGAATTTTACAACATCAAGACTCTTGTTATTCTCTCCTTTTTGTGTGGGTGTGTGTGCGCGTGTGTGTGTGGGCGTGCGCGTGAGTGTGTGTGGAGGTTGGGGGGTTCTTTTACAGGTTGTCTAAATCCTCAAAGTCATAAATTAATGTCTATATATTAAAGCCTTAAAATGTTGTAAATTGTTTTACTTTTTTAATGTAATTCGACTTTAAGCACATTAATCACAGGTCTTAAATATTGTCGTGCCAGGACTACTTAAACATTTTGTGGAGTTTTTTTGTTGTTGTTGTTTCTTTCACTCTCTCTGGTCCTTGCCAGTACCCTCCACCGCCAGTCATAGTACGCAATAAGGTTTTTACTGGCAAAGCTGCCATTATACCCAAGCTAGCAAGCTAAACTAGCTAAATAGATACCTTAGCCAGCTAGGTTAGCTAGCTAGATGAATGCCCCATCAGGTTAGCTTGTAAGATTATCTAGATGATTAGATGGCCCATTTGGTTAGCAAGTTAAGTTAGCTAGCTAGACAAATACTCTATTTATTTAGTTAGCTTAATTGGGTAGCTAGCTAGATACCCTAGTTAAGTTAGCCAACTGGGGTATCTAGTTAGAGAAAAGTCAACTTGAGAAAAGTTAGCTTTTCTCAAGCTAACTTAGTCTACCCCACCTTGCTATGTACCTAAGTATATTAGCTAGATGACTAGTTAAAGTTTCCTAGCTAGCTTTTCTGGCTAGTTTGGGTACATTCACAGCTACATTACCAACTAACGTTGGTTCAAATTATCAGTGATTGGCATGACAGCATTCATCTTTGGCATTGCCTCATTTCTGTTTAAAAATGGCTTCCTGCAGGTTTCACCCACTCTAATTGAAATAACTAATGAAAGGTAAAAAAACATCCAGTGGCGTTAATGCGTTCTGTACGTCTTTGTTGCCTTCAGTATGAGGGCATAGAGGAAAAAGCAACGAGTTAATGAGGCGTGGGTTTATCTATCAGTCAATTAGGCAGCCGCTGTGCCTGACTGAAGAGAGCATCAGGAGACGCAGAGGGGAGGGAGGTGGATGGATGTCTGTCAAATTCCTTTTCTCAATTACACAATCTGCCTCATCACTCTTTCTCTGCCTTTTTTCTTCTCTTCTTTAATTCATTAATCTGTCAGTCTGTGAAACCTGGTATTTCAGGTGATATTTCAAAGATGGGCTCAATTATGACCATTTCTGTAATTGGCGCTCCACTTTACGGTTTGAGAGAGCTGCCTCGTCTGAGGAGAAATGACCTTGCTACGCTGTGGTCATCCCAGCTCCTTAAAGGGGGGACTGAATCTTTCCTCTCGTTAAATTTAGCAATTGTGGCCAGAGATTAGTTGTCAGTCCAGTGCTTTTTATTTTTTTGTGAGTTTCGAGTATTTTTTGTTGTTTTTTTTTATGCTGTTCTTCTAATTAGATGGTAATAAAATGAAAACTAATGAGTCTGGAATGGAAAATAAAAATAGGCCTTTTTTACAAGTCTAATTACTTGTAAAACTGTCTAAACAAAATTACAGCGAAAGCAAACATGTTTTGGGCCTTCAAATAAAAATCTGCATGTTGTGAAATTCAACTTCTGCCAAATTTGCATAGTCTAAATAGTCTTGTCTAGTCTGAGACAAGATAATTAAAAATACTGTAAGTGTTTTGGATTTATATGTATAAAATCCTGCACAAACATATTTTTAAAAAAAGTATATTTTCCTTAGATGGTGGTTGCAATGTCAGCAATGCCTTTGTTTAAAAAAAAATAAAAAAAACATATTATGTATCATCAATATTTGGTAAAGATCTATATATTGAACTTCTGATCAAAATGTGGTTTTAAAATAAGCCTAACAGATAAAGAAAGACAATTAAAGAACAAATTAAAAATATTTAATAGCTAATTTTCCAAACTTTGCACCAATATAGCAGAATTCCCTGAGAGTTCCAGTTCTTCATAAATTAACGGTGGCGCTTTCTCAACTGTGCAGCTGTTTTACTCATGTACTCAGCAGCTATAGTGGTGTGCTGAGTACAGTATAGGCATATGGTATGTTATTTTTTTTGTTTAATTTTTCCTTTTTAATAAGCTTTTATTTGGCAAAGATTATTACTAATAGTCACCTACAACCTTTTCTTCCATTTTCTCTCTCAGATTTGGGACACAGCTGGTCAGGAGCGCTTCCGCAGCGTCACACACGCCTATTACCGTGATGCCAACGGTATGTGTCCCACTGGTGTGTGTGTGTGTGTGTGTGTGCGTGCGTGCGTGCGTGTGTGTGTGTGAGTGTGCCTCAGCTGTCATGACTGACTAGACAGCTTTAATTTTCTCCTGTCTGAACTAAACCGCCCTGACATTTTATTGTGCTCTTGTCTTCAAAATGTTGGCTGACACCTCATAGCTCGTCGTAGCTATGAGGTGTACGAAGAGGCACAAAAGCTCTGATTATTGTGGGCAGTAAAATGTGTTTTGACAGTTGCACCCAGTATTATTTTGCCGACCGACTGGGTACAAAATAATTTAGGGTTAGGGTAAGTACTTACCCTGAGGGGGGCAATTTAGTAACCTCAGCTGAAACCTATAACAGAGGGATGTGTCTTTGTGCAGAATGTTTTTTCTTTCTTTTTTTGAAAAGCACAATTAAAACCCAAAACTTTAATATGTTTTATTGGTAATTTGTCTTGTTTGAAAAGGTTGAATTTAACATCTAAATCTGTTGTAAATAATCTAAAATTGTAAATGTGTGTATAAATGTATCTATAGTGTATTTTCCACACACACTGTGTCATTTTAAAGCACAACTAGGTAACTTCAGTTGTAAAAGTGCTATAAATATCAAACTTAAATGATTTTTGAATTTGTAATTAGACACCTCAAAATTGGGCCTCTGCCTCTTTAAGAAGCTCCTGCTCTTGCTGTCACTCCACCGTCAGCACTTGATCACCTCAATGCTCCTCCATTATCCCCTTTACAACCGTTTTCAGGAAAGTTTGATAATTGCAAAGTATCTCTTATGATTTAAGTAGACGCGCAGGTCCACCAGGTGATTGCTAATCGCTGCTGCCGCTAGTCTGGAGGAGCTGAGTCAGGAAGCAGGTGCTCTGTAATACAGAATCTCAGCTAGTAGAAATATGTTGAGCATTGTGAGACCAAACCTTTTGCCACTGCAAATGGTTGCCAAAGGAGATTCAAGGATATCTCAAACAGCCATGAAAAAAATGCAACGTTCCATAAACAAGTTTATTCTTATTATTACTGTTGGACCCCGAGTCTGAACTATAACGATCAATCTTGGTGAAATAGACTCCAGCTTGTAATGTACAAATACTTTCAGAAGTATCTGGAGATTTCAAACAACCCCAATAAAGTTCGCATTGTAGCATGATAATCAGGTTAATGCATAACAAAGCGAAAATTTGTTTTGGTTTCCATCTTTAATGATTAGCCCGTGTTTGATTTCACACATGGTCAGCTCCCATTCCACTGGATGTCAGGTTATTTATAACAACATGAGAGAGGAGGGGTGGCGTCTCTGGGCTCCTCTGGCCCATTGCCTGTTGTTCTGATCTGTGAATGCTTCAGTTTACCCTCACTGATCTTTAACAAGACACCCAGGGAGCCTCGGATCAGAGCCTGTGCGCCGTCCGTCTGTTCCTGACTTTTAAATAAAACTCATTCAGCCTGACAGGCTGGACCAGGGGAGAGGACGGAGCCCAAACACAGCTAATTCCATCACTGCCGTCAACTAGCGGTCGGCGCTTCATGACTTGAAAAGATCCGGCTGTCTGAGGATTCTGCCCAATTGGAAAACATCAATAAGTTACACTGAGCGAGTTCTAAAACGCGTTTGGGCCTCGGCTCAAAGCAAAAACTTAAAAACAGTGCTGTAAATAGTATGTGCGCCCTTTCAAATTCCTCACACATGAAAGTTTCAGACCACCAAAGACATTTATGAGACAAAGATGACATGAGGGATTGGAAAAGGCTGCTTTCAAAAGATGATTTTACAAAACTGTCCAACAAAACCCTGTAAGGCTTGTGTGAAAAGGAATTGGGCCTTTGTTCAGCAGGGCTCACATCAGCTGCGTTTCCATTACAAATGTGTGCAGAACTCTCTCAATATTTTACTAATCTCAAAAAAACTATTGTGATGTTTGCATTAAGTAAGAAATGCAATTAACGTTTTAAAATCCTAATGTGCCTCGTGTCACAGTGTACGATGGATAATGACAGACTGTTAATTGTGATTAACCTAATTGTTCAATTCCTTGATGCCTGAGCTGACCAATCCAGGACCAATCCAAGGCGTCAGAAAACTACCCTAAAGAACCGGCATATTGGCACGAATTCATCAATTGTTGAATAAAAAAATCAATTTAGAAATCAAATAATTATCTGGAACATACTCTCAAAAAAGGCAATTTTCTGAAAGAACAGTCAGAGCAAAATATATATATAGGCAATAAAATGTTAATTTTCTCATTTTGTTTGCCTTTTACTTTACATCCAACCTTGAATTAAAAAAAGACTTCAGTGCTTAAATGAAAAATCTGCAGTGTGCCACTTTTATTTCTCCTATTAAAGGTGGGCTGATGATGACCTGCTGTAGATGACGGAAATGTAATTTTCTGCATTAAACCAAAATGTCCAGAACGAGAATTTTCAGCCGTTTGTTCATGACCTTAACAAAGAAGCCCAGTCGGGCCGGGATGACGGTAATAATCCAAAGCACACCAGCAAATCCGCCTCTGACTGGCTCGATAAAAACAGGAGATGTCAGGCCTGCCGAGGTCCAGGCTTGAATCCGACGATGAGATCCTTGAAATTCATCCAAACAGTCTGAATTAAAAAACTGGCCAAAATTCCTTCACAAAAAAATGAGGGAGATTTTCCCATTTATTAAAACAGTTTGATGCCAGTGCCTGCTGCCAATAAATATTTCGTATTATGAAGTACTCATTGTGTTGGAGGATGAAATGTAGTTCCACATCCTGTCTCTGTAACTCTGGGTTTTGTCTGGCCATAGAACTGAGAATGAGCCGAGTTCTTGCAGCTCATTCTTGACATGTCATGGTCAGGCCTTACAGTGTCCAGTATCGAGTGTTTTTCTGCGGTGGAAAAGGCAAAAAGAGCCTTTTGACTTGTGCTCTGCAGCTCCTGTGAAGCATGAAATGACCTGGCTACCAAGAGATTTGTTCTTGTTCTTGGAGGCTCGCGTAAAGGAACTAATTTATTTGTTCTAGCGGGGTGTGAACAGAGCCTTAGAGCTAGTGCGAGTTAAAAATCACCAGGAAATTTCCTCTGACATTCTGAGGTTTGTTCTGTTACGTTTTGTGACGGATCAACACAGTTTACATTCAGATCCTCCTCTCGTGTTCACCATGGCCATTTTCTTTTAACTTTTACACAAGAAGCTGTTGAGATTTATTGAATGTATATACTGCATTTAAATAGACAGTAGTTTCACTTAAATGGGCCAATTTGGTTGGTCAAAATAAATATTAGTTTCTCTCCTATTTGACTCGTGGACGTTTCTAATTTCACACAAAAATGTAGTATTTCATCTTAAAGTATACTTTTGTTGTTTTTTCTATAAAATCTGACATTTGAACAAGTCAGAGTTTGCTTTTGTGGCTGGAGCTGATACTTTTGACTTGAAATGTAAAGGTTGTGTTGCGGAAAACATCCGAGAAAAGTTCATGTAACCGATAAGAGATTAGTCCAGCAGATAAGATCATGTTTTGAGATTCGTGAAATCTTTTCTCAGACCTGCAAAGGGCCACTTTTGCCCCACGGAGATCACTGGGTGTATTTTTAGCACCAATTGGTGCTAAAGCGTAATATTTATTAGGCCCATAATGTGAGAGCAGGGAGATCCTGGCTGTCTGAGGCTGGAGTCAGCCCAGCGCAATCTGCCAGGCCCATCTGGTGTAGGGCACCAACGAGGTCTGGTCGGGTCTAGAACCCAGCTGCACATTCACGGCACACCTGCAGCCCGCCCAACTCCAGCGCTCCTCTCTGACCGGAGCTGACAGTTTGTCATTTCCACAGCGTGAACTGAAACCACAGGCTGCGAAACGTGAGCAGAGGAAGCACGCTCTGTCGGTGGAACGAGTTGGGAGGAGCTGTGTTACCTGGGAACAGGGACAATTTGGGGGCAGAATTAGACGGAGGAAATAAATCCGAGAACGGAGAAGGAAAACTTGGAAGAGACTGGTTCAGTCATTGTGTTAAAGAGAACAATGGTGACGTTTTAGAAGAATTTAAATATGAAACGGTCTACCTTCCTAACTCTGTGATTGGAATATAATTGTCTAATACAAAGGAACAGAGTATTCTGTGAAAAGCACTAAATGTTCCTCTTAGAATGATTTTCAACTTTTCCTTTTGGGGAAAGTAGAGTAAAAGAAATTACATCTAAATAAAAGTTAGCATTTTAGGAAAATGAGTTAATATTTTCCCTTCAGATTAATTATTCCTTAAGTTTAGAATCTAAAGAATGGAAAAAGCACAAACTACATTGAGATTCAAAAACACTTTGTGGCCTAAATGTCTCCTTTCCAAACGTGACGCTCGAAGAAACCCTCATCACTAAAATGATAACGAGGCAGAAGAAATGGAGTGCGAAAATTGATTTTTGTGAAACAGGTAATGACTGCGTTACAAATTATGCCTCCAAATGACGCTTCACGATTGAGTATTTTAGGCAATATTGAGAACAAGGACTCCTGTTTCACGTTGCTGTAATGGCCCCACTGCTCTCTCTTTGTTCCCCGTGTTGTAAAGAAACTGTTAATGGCTCTCTAAATACATCTCAACCAGACGTCGCTTTCATTACAGTCCTGCCGCGTTGGGAGCATTTCATATTGTTAGTGTGTTGTAAGACTAATTTTTAATTAAAAAAGACATTAAAAATCATGTTTCTTTTTTTAATTGCACATCTAAAAGTGTATTTCTGCAGTTCCGGGGTCATAAAGGGGAATCAAAGAAACCTCTCTTGGGTTTCGTGTCTGAATGGGAATTGGGCTGGGTGGAATGGTTTTTAGAGATTTCATCAACTCAACAGACATGTCAGAATAAGTTTAGGTTAACATCTTGTACAAAGTTATCTGGGAAAGAAGCCCTTCTGAAGAATGAAGTAATTCTGTTACACCATGTTCTGAAGTTGACCTATCTTGTCCGTGTAATGGGAATTCTTCCTTTTCAGACAAGAGTTTTGACCTTACATTTCAGGCTGTCAGAAAGAAAAGAAAAACTATTAGATGTTTTTTTGTGAAATCAAACTCTGAAGCAGAGCCAAAAGAGCGAACTCAAAAAAACTGGTTGAAGTGAACGATGGAGCAGTTTGAATGCCAAGTAGACCAGAAACGGCTCCAAAAGCAGGAGGGAGTTTAAAGTGCAAGGTATTATGGATAAATACAACCAAACCATAGTGCCTGGCGCTACAGGGATAAATCCTCAGGATCTTTTACCAAAGAGAAATCTGACGGCACTCAATTTTTGTTTCCATTTTATGAAGGAAGTTCAGCTCCGTGTTTGGCGTTTTTGTGTCGTTTCCTTCAGTGGTTGTCGGTGCAGCGCCACCACAGGTGAAGAAGGGTAACAGGTTGAAATTAGTCCAAAACAGTGTCATAAGGTCATAAGGTAGAACAAGTTGAGCATCTAACCTTGAGGTTCACAGGCTCCACCTCAGGGATCTTTGTTTGCTTTTTTTTTTTTTTTTTCTAAATCCATAAAAACAACCAGAATAGAATAGTTCTTCAGTCTCATTTCTTCAATAAGAGAAACTTTCTAAGTTCTTGTCTGAAACTATAAACTGTCTTCTTTTTCCTGATTCCTACAGTACCAGTGTCCTTTAAAGATGACGGCAATTACTCACATTTTTTATGTCTGCATTTTTTTGTGTGTGTGTGTGTGATCAAGGTCAGAAATGACAGGAACCATTTTTCCATCAGTATGTCATGACTTTGTTTCTGGCTCTGTATCCTTTCAGTCTCTGAAGACGCATGATCCAGTGACTCTGACATTTAATCTTTAGTTGACAAGATGAAACCGTCTGCCTGTCCTAACGACATCCTCCACGTGGCCATTATAAAACCTTTTCCTGCAATTGATCCTTGTACTGTACAAATTTGCTTCACTTTTAACCGGTGTGGCCTCCAGTTAAAAGTTCTTTGACACTATTTGCCACTCGGCCGATGAAGCTGCCACCAGTTCTGTAAATGTTAAGGCATGAAGTACAGACCAAATCAAACATTCATCCCATGCTGGCATTTCCACAGCAGCAGTGTCAAATGTCAGGTTCCCTTTGGTGCAGTCACTAATGTAATTACTTTTTAATTTATGTGACAATAAATGGACAGAAAATTGTGACTTGTAATCCCACCGAGGCCCCAATAAAACGCTCCCAACCTTCAAACGGGTGAACTGGTGTCAAACGTCTATTTTTCATTTTTTACGAGCTGCACGATGGTAACGATTCCATAAAAACGCTGTGAAAAGCTGATACTTTCATCCATGTTGATTCGTATTACATTCGTCTGTGTTCTGCCGACCAGCCGGAAGAGAGGAGAGCATCCGCATACAGAGAAGCGTCAAAGATGTTGATGCTCTTGAAGGACTCGGTTGTAAGACCCAGTCAGTACCTCAGTTTATGCAATTTCCCTTTTATTGATCCCAAAGGGAAATGAAATGAAGCTCATCAAGTTAAAGTCATCAAACATTTATTGTTGATGGTGATGTTAACCGATTGAGTTGATTAACTCTGAATGAGCTGGTAGTTTATTTTTGGACAGTAGTTTCTGTCTCCTACATCTCTGTTGTCTTGTTTTCCTGATTGTCTCAATATCACAAAAGGTCAAATGTCAAACCACTCCACTTTTCAGGAAGAAGATGATCATATTTTCACATTGGACCAAAGTAAAGCACATCAAGGCATGTAAACTTTCCAAATAAAAAAAAGTGATACGTCATTACTGCTATTACTACATTTAGCAAACTGAGTCACTTTTGTATTCCTAGCTTATCAACCTCACTAAATGTTTAGTGCGATTTAATGACAATCTCATTGAATATTATATATCTGCTTCAACGCCCCTGAAATAATTGGGTCATTAGGAAGAATGTGTGGAGCGTAGCTTTACTCTCGAGTTTGTTGATGGGAGGAATTAAGAAAGCGTGAATCATTTAGAAACAAGGTGAAGAGTGATGGAGGGAAAGCAAAACATTAGAGATAAATGGAAAAGAGTAGGATATAAATAGGACAAGGCAAAGCTTCATCTTCATCTCACGTCATCAAAAAGACACCTGAATGCAGAGACAAGAAAAAAAAAACATCCAACTTCGACTTTATTAAAGGAAAATGGAAAGTTAAGAGTTTAGCACAATGTCTTAACACTCGTCATGGTACCAAGTTTCATAGTGTAACGTTTTGAACCTCGCTAATGCATTGAGCTGCAGCTGTGAGGGGAGTTTTAACTCTATTATGATTGAGTTAAAACTCAAAAACTGACACGGCAGGATGAAGACTCGCCGCCCACTGTTAGACAGGAGACGACAGCAGCCGGAACGATGAGGGGGCAAAGCGCGCTGGTCACCAGTCAACAATAAGCCTGTGGATTTATTAAGGGAGTGGTCATCCTTTCTTCTCGTGTTTACCTCCACAGGTTCACGCCCAGATCAGACACACAGGTCACTGCCCTGAGCGCAACATGTAAACACTCTGCTTGAACGTCTGCACAACGTCCCATTTTTGATCTTTCTTATTGGCTCAGAGTTCAGAGTCATAGTAGCTATGAAACAGAGTCACTGGATTTTATACATTTGATCTAATGGTACCTGTACAAGGATGTCCTTCATAGAAAAGACTTCAGCCTAAACAGAATGTTTTGAAGTCTTTATATGTCTGAGTGTCTTTTAGAAACAAGTCATGAGTATTTTAGAAATGATACCTATTTAGGGTTTCTGTGGTTTGTCCTGAAGCAGAATCTCAGGGAAGTTTTTACCTTTGGATAAAAATCTATACTCACTAGCTTTATACGCTGATCAACGTCCTAAACCAGAAAGGTAAAAGTACTCGTACATCAGCTGTGATTTTATTCAGTTTTAATTTCAGGGTGTGTAAAGTTCAACTCAAAACCGGCTGCAGCCAAACTGATTGGCTGAGACCAAAATGGGTAGAAATGATTGTATTTTCTTTCTTTTGGGTGATAAATGTAAAAACTTAAACAACAAGGCTTTGTTTTTGTTTCATTTCTCCTTACATGCCTTCGTCTCCAAATACGCTCCAGTCAACTGGTTTAGTGGACCTCGGTTGTAAAGCTGAATTGGACTCTCTGGTCCGGACCAGTTTGGTTCTTAGACAGCTTTCTCACTAGGAGAAAGCTGAACTTCCCAGGGTCTCGATTAAATCCCACGTGCTGCATTTAGCTGACGCATTTAGGGCGGGCGTTCTTTTGTTAAACACCGCTACTTGCACAGCTTCTTTTTTTTTTTTTTGGTGTGTTTTCAGCACCGAGTTTGCAGACTCACTAATTGGCAGATGGAGAGTTCACAAGAGACACTCGGCCATTATGTAGGAATAATTATCCAGGCTCCGACCTTGTACGGTTTACAGATAAAACATCGCGACATCTTCTGAAACGAAGAAATGTGCTTGATTAAAAACAGAGTCCCACATTATGAAATGGTGACTCATTCCCACAGGAGAAAACTGTTGACCGGTTTAAGTAAAGCCTTCAACTTGGAGGTGTCGGGGCTTTATTTTTGACAATGTTTTCTCCTTCCTTTTGTCTCCCTAATTGGATTTTGTGTGTGTGCATGTGTGTGTATGGACTCTTTGTGGTTTCCTGTGATCGCCTTACAGTGGCAGGCCACCACAGGAGCAATGAGAGGGGAAATTAACTCGTCAGTCACATCGTCCCGCTCCTTCTGGATACTTTCCACTGTCCTCCTCATCCTCCGTTTCTCGGGTTGACACGCTCAGACAGCACTCAGTGATTACAGCTCATTAAACGCCCTTCACAGACATGCCTGGCTGGAATACGCAAGCGAAACTTTTAATTCAGTTTGGACTACGGCTGAGACGTAAGAAGGGTCGAGGACGGAGGGGGAAAGTGAAAAAACAGCACAGGACAGTGACATATATGGAAGTGAGACAAGGTCTGTGGGCATTGCATGTGGCAGGAAGTGATGAAGTGTTGTGGAGGTAATAGCCTAAAGGCACATTTTCCAGTCGAAGGTTAAGCCATCTGTGAAAATGAGGTAAAATGGGCCTTGTAGGTGTAATGATTTTCTCCTGTCCTGCAGAGCCTCATAATGCCCACATCTCTCCACTAAAAACACGCCTGAGGTGATATTATTCTCTGTGGCGGCGCGATGCTGCTGGAGCTCATTAGGATTCACACGTGCAGTTATGTTGTCAGCGAGCAGACTAATGCTACGCTAAAGAGCAGAGTTCAGCACTTTTCTGAGCCAACACTGTAATCCATTTACATTTTTTTTTTCTTTTCATCCCTGCGTTTTACCCGTGCAAATTTCTGCAAATTGTTACTCAGAAGGCGGGTTCTAGACTTTCTTTTTTTCTTATGGGTTACCTCACCGCATGAGGTTAGGCTCTGAAACGGCAGAGTGGTGCGATGCTACGTCGTTGTAGCAGATGGCCACTTTAAAATATAAATGACAAAAAATCACGAGCTGTAAACATGTTAAGATGCCAACGTTTAACGAGTAGCAGATCCGATAAAATAAACTGAAGGTAAACAGTTCCAGATTCACTCATTATGTCTTGTTTTATCATTGTTCTCTCGTTTAATAAATCCTCTCCCAGTGGTGCTATGTCCCTGCATCAGTCAGTGGCCATCTGCAAGAAACTAAAGCTGAATTGAAACTTGACAGGACTTTCTCTGCAGAGTTTGTTGGATTTTTAAAGATGAAATAAAGCTAAATATAAAACATTTTTTCTTTGTTTTTTTTTTTCTTATCTCTTTCCTCCCAGCTCTGCTGCTTCTGTATGATGTCACCAACAGAGCGTCCTTTGACAACATCAGGGTAAGATCAATCACTTTGAAAGATGCTCGTCTTTGTAATTCTCTCTCTCTCTCTCTCTCTCTCTCTCTCTCTCTCTCTCTCTCTCTCTCTCTCCCTTTGATACAGTGTTGGTAGCGTTCTATTTTGAAATGGTTTTAAATCCACAAGCATGAACGTCACATCGTGTTATTTGGGCAAAGATCGTTATTTACCAGCAGACTGTTTTCTTTCTCTTTGGCGAAGAGTTCATGAGGTTAATAGCATATTAGCTTCACAGTAGGTAAGCTGTATGCCTGATCAAAAACAGCTGCGAGATCTGCTGTGTGAAATTCCACATCTCTGTAAAAATGGACACGTTACTTATTGCAGCATCTCTGTTTCCTTGACGCCTCCAAACTCGAAGTATAATTTACATCCAACATATTTCAAGGTGTGCAGCAGCCTCCTCCCATCCGAGCCGTTTGCAAGCGCACTGAAACTCCCCCGCCATCATCAGATAATGAACAACAAGGCCACCGAGCGAGGATCACAACAACGGCGGCAAATGAGGGAGGTGACGAAGGCGAGCAGCATGGGCCGCGCAGATAAGAGCGCGCGCTGTCGCTAATAGACAGATCTCTTTGTAGTCCCTATCTCTGGCGTGTGAAGTCTTCTCCTCCGTTATTCTGGAGCCATTTCCTGTCCCATTTGGTGCTGCTCTCCTCTCTGCGCGGCGCGTTTCTCTCCTTTGATGAACACGGAGCAGAGATGAGAGCAGGACATGGTCATTGTTGGTGAGTCTCACATGTAAATAAGTGTGTGTGTGTGTGACTGCAGTGTCCATGGATGCTCGTCACACGGCTGAATTTTTCTACATTCACACCTGTCACCATAGCAAATTTTTCTGTGAGATAAATTGTCCCAGAATTAATCGTGATAAACAATAATATTGTTTCAAGCCCATTTTCAAGTAATATCCTCTCAAAGATCAATAAACTTTTAATTTTGTTAAGAACACCTGCCACTGGAACTTTAAGATATATTTCAAAATGTTTAAAGAAAAAATACCAAAAACGATAAATAAAACCACTTACAACTGAACCCATCAATGGTTCAGATTATGAAGTCTGTAAACAAAACTGACCTTCAAAAACTATTCATCATCACAATGGAAATAATCGAACATTTCAGTTTATCGTGTGATTGATTTATTGCAAAAGCTTCAGTCGGACTTTGTCGCATCATAACTCCAAACCTCAGAGTATCTTATTGGGATTTTATTTGAGAGGACAAAGTTATTTATTTATTTATTTTTTTTTTTTTTACAAAATTCCTCCCTCTCAGTCAGATTGGAAGGGGATCATCAGTTATTTCCAACTTTTGCCTCAGATTATGAAGTCTGTAAACAAAACAGAACAGACCTAAACAGAACTGGACAGCAGTCCAGTTCTTTTTAGATCTGGACTTTGACTGGGACATTCCAACGGTTGGCTTTAGTTTGGTTTCAACTATTTAGTAAAGGATTGCTATTTATTTAGTTAACTCCATTGTTAACTAGCCAGCTTTCCTCTTCCTGATAAAACAAAAAACCAACAGCATGATGCCACCACCACATTTACCCAACCAGATGATGATGGTGCTTGATAATTTTCTATTCCATTTCGAATTTAGCATTAATCTGTGTTTAATATTGGAGTAGAGTGCCATCTTCCACATGTTTGCTTTTTTCCACGTAAGGTTTCCGACAAACTCATGGCTTTCTGTCCATAATGCTGTTCCTCCTGCCACCCTTAGATGGAGCCAGATCTGTTGAGTGCATGATTCCTGCAACAACCAGAGAACACATAAGCGGAAAAACTTTCCTTTGAGCCTTGGATTAAATTCTGGGGCGAAAAACAAGCATGTGAAGTAAATTTAATCCATCTTAATTCAAATTCAGGAAGCAGCGTCGCTTCAGTTTTCATTTACTTCCCTTCAGCGGACTAATCCGTTTTTTCCTCCCTCATGTCAGGGAACAGCTCTGATACGACTTCAGTGAGATGCGTCGACTCTGCTCCACATTCAGGTTTCCACTGTTAGACAGTGAGGGAGTTTAGTTTCCATCATCAAGACAAAACAGCCCCAATGGCCAGAGCAGATGCAAACACAGTAGGAGGCTGATGAACAGTGGATGTGCGTGCGTGCGCGCGCATGCGAGTGTGTGTGTGTGTGTGTGTGTGTGTGAGTGACCAGGCTGTTTTTGTTTCAGAGATAATGCCTGTTCAACACAGAGCTTGGAAACAGATTCAGAGCACCATTGTACAAAATGTCTGACTGGTGTCACGTATATTTTATGGAGAAGAAGAACAGTAGAGTGATGGTGAAGTTTGGCTCCTGTTGTCAACACATCACTGTACATAGTGTCTTCTGTTGATTATCCATCACCCAACCAGTGTTTGCAGTATGATACTTTGACCTTTATGAAATCTGTGCCCAAAAAAATTAACCAAAGTATGGAAAAAGTGAAACTACTAATATGAACTAATTAAAACTACCGAACACATTCTAAAAACAAATTGAAAGACCAAAAGTCACAGAAAAATATAACTAAACTACAATGAAAAACCCAAAACTATTATAATCTGGAGTCAGACTCATCAACCAGCCAATACCAGTGTCACTTTACGGAAGCTGTGCTGCACAATAGACATGTTTACTGAGCAACAACTAAACTCCATCACTGACTCTTCTATATTTTGATAAAGTCCTTAAGCTAATGGTTCCTCTAAACGCTGACCAACCAACTTCCTCAGCCTTTTATTTTGAAATATCTCTGGCTAAAGTAAACTGAGTGAATCATTGATGAGAGCTCATGGAAAAACCCGACCGGCGCTAAAGACTCACTCATATTCTCTCACTTTCCGATAGTCGTGTCCATGTATTAAAATGAAAATGTTAAAAATAACACAATTATAATTATTAACGCTTTTAAGTGGACATTATTCAACCACCTTTTACTTCTGCATACATTACTACGTCATGGTTTAAACATGTTGCGTATGAATGCCATTAAACCGTGCGTCTTTTGCTCTCGTATGCTAAAGCTAATGCAAAATTCATGCTAATTCTTGCTTGTTAGAGAGAAATATTCCAGTGTGCCTCAGAAGGGAGAGAACTTTGCACCGAGTGGATTAACAGAGGAGTTTATTTTAAACTCGTGTTGACTACACAGCTTTCCAAGGCTGCTGCACAAGGCCGTCTCCTATAGTATGAATCCATTAGCGGCTGAGGCTGGAGGTGAAGGCTGAAGGGCGGCGAAATGATGGCGAGATAAAGAAGCGGGGCGCGCTGCTGTCCATCTCCCGCTGTCTCACTCTGGCACCCAGGCTGTCCTTTTCTCTCTCGCTCTTCTTTTCACTGCTGCCAACGAGCTTACCCAAGGCCCTCTCCTATTCCGCATTTCTTTGCTGCTTTTATCACGTCTGCTGGGTCTCAAACCAGTCAGGTCGGACAATTGAACTGCCAACTTTTTACATTCGCTCAAATGTGTCTTATTTTCCTCTTTTTAACATTTGAGAAGGTTTTATGCAGAACGCAAAATGTTTTGGGTTCTTTGCATTTGTCTGAGGCCCTTTTTACGTACATTTTCTTTGACGTTGAGGATTATTCCACGGATAAATATGAAGGATAAACATTTACAATCACCGACTGCAGATGTTAACCTTGCATATTATCATTTAAAATGTTGTGGAATTGCACTTTTTTGTTCTCCAGAAATCCAAACTAGGAGACTCTCACAAGCACAGACCTGGTGGCTAGATTTATCACCCCATATCAAAAATGTAATGGCAAAGATGATGTAATATTCATATTGCTCTGCTTAGTAAGCCGAAGGATTATAATTGGTTTTGGCATAGATTTGCCAGAATGTTTATACAGCAACTGAAAAACAGGTATCCTACAAAAAAAATAGGATATGTTCAAAACACTTCCAGTTTTATTGAAGTTTGCAATATTTTTTGCAAACATTTCATTGTATAATTACTATTTAGACAAGTTCGGGTTCATTTTATAATGGGATTTAATCTATTCCCATACTAAATGTTTCATTTTGTGGATAATAAGTTTAGTTTCATTAAAGTGGAAAAATCAAGTTTTTGAGGTATTGCTACAAGAAGTTTTCAGTCACAAAAAATAGCATCTGTAGAAATATAGATTCTATCCCAACACTTCAATGACTTTTAGACTTAAACTAAAAAGTTGGTGTCCCAACACTGAACCTTGAGGGATTCCCCTTTTTTTTTGCTATTCACGATGTGATACTTTGGTCCCTGTTTCTGTTTGTTCAATAAACGCTCATGCTGAAGTAAGGTAAAAACAACTCTTCTACATTTCAAACATCTAGTCTATTGGCACATGCGGCTTTTGCTTTCTGCCCAGTGTTCTCTGCTCCTTAGAGAACAGGTGGTATCACAGTCACACTGAAACCTCCCTCGTGTTCTGCAACAGGCTAAAGTCAAATGGGATAAACCAGAGCTGTAATATCTTTAGCTTTGTTTGATTCTGGAGATCTCCACAAATTGATGACATCACACTTGAACGGCAGGCGTCTAAATGTAAATATGATTAAAGGGTCATTGTCGCTTGATTTTACCGTTGTCACTCGATGCTTTTCAGCACATGCTTTTACAGATACATAAGACAGTTTTTTAAACGGGCACAATTTGGTTTAATTAAGAGTGAAAGCATTATTATCATCACACAGACATGTAGCAGGTCTTATTTGTCTCCACAGCTGAAACCTCTAAACATGCCAAGACTAATGTGCTTTCAACTAGTTTAATGAAACACAGGCAAAAAAAAAGATGCTTGTTTTTCTGAATATAAAAGCTATAATTACATCCATCCACATTAGAGACTTAATTGATAACTTACTGTCGTCCTGTGATGGTTGTCATGCCAACTACTTCTCGAGCAATACCTTCTTTTTTTTTTCTGCCATCCCTGCTGACATTTAATTGGAGCGTTATTGTCTCCCACAATGGTGGGTGTGTCCAGCTTTC